TTGCAGGCGAGCTCGAGCGCTTGCATGGCTGGCGACAGCGCTAGGGTTCACCTATGAAAGGAACCCTAGCCCGAGATCTCGTGTGCTTTTTCTCTCGCGATTTTCTTGGCGGTGCTTCTTCTTCTCTTCCTCTGCGATTTTTCTTCTGCTCCAGCACTCAAAGAAATTTGAGGGGAGGAATTCATTGAGAAGGAATTTATTGAAGAGAAAATTTAAGAGGAGAATATTGAACAAAGGAGAATCTTCACTATAGCTACAGTGAAGATTTATAATTTTTGAGAGATCTCAAGTTTGAGATCTGCTCTTATATTGTAATTTCTTGTTGATTAATAAGAAATTTATTGTGTGGCTTCCGAGGATGTAGGCAAGTTTGCAGAACCTCGTAAATCTTGGTATACTTTTTTTTATACTGCGTTTTTGCTGTTTTAGGGATTTCGGTGTAAATTTCTAACAACTGGTATTAGAGCGTGAAACGATCTAGAGGAAGTCAGATTCAAGTTGGAGCCATGGCCGCAGATAATGGAAAAGTGAGACTTGAGAAGTTTGAAAGAACAGATTTTGGATTCTAAAAAATACAAATAGAGGATTATCTATATCAGAAAATCAGTATCAACCACTATCGGGGAAGAGGCCGGAGTCTATGAAGGAGGATGAGTGGAACCTTCTAGACAGACAAGCCCTCGGAGTTATCAGATTAATGTTGACTCATAATGTTACGTTTAATATTGCGACGGAAAAGACCACGGCAAGTCTTATGGCAGCACTCTCAAATATGTATGAGAAGCCATCAGCCGCGAACAAAGTTCATTTGATACCGTAGTTATTCAATCTGAGAATGGCGGAAGGCGCGTCAGTAGTACAACACCTCAATGAACTCAACACGGTCACAACCCAATTGAGTTCAGTTAAATTTAAGTTTGATGAGAAAGTTCGAGCGTTGATACTTTTATCTTCCCTACCAGAAAGCTGGAACGCTACAGTCATGACTGTGAGTAGCTCATCAGGAAGTAACAAGTTAAAGTTTGATAACGTTCGTGATCTGGTTCTTAGTGAGGAGATCCGCAAAGAGAGTTAGATAAAGCTACAACCTCTTCAGTTTTGCATACAGAGTCAAGAGGTAGAAATTCAACCAGAGGAAACGGACGAGGCAAATCAAACTATAGAGGTTGATCAAAGGATAGGAGGTCCAAGTAAAGGAATCCAAGCAACAACATGAAGGCTATCAAGTGTTGAAATTATGGAAAGGCCGGGCATTACAAGAATCAGTGCAAAATTGCACAGAAGGAGAAGGATGCGAAGGCAGAGGTGAATGTCACTTTTACTTCAGGAGGAGACGATGC